CATCGACTCCAGATATTCCCCCATGTGCAGGTATCCATCCTGAGGGGAATTGAGGCAAAGTCCCAGGTTGACCTCCTTGCTTCTCTCATGTACACGCCGAGCCCCCTTTCTCCTTGGCACACAGAGACAAAATGTAGGACTGGTGCCAACAGTTCATCATGGAAGAAAGGACTCACTAAGCCGGGATCACTCCTTCAAAGCCCAAAATTCCATCCTCTACTAATGGGGCATCGTTCGTTCCCTCTCCGACTAAATTTACGGCCGCCAAAAAGAGACCAATCCCAAGTGGATTTCTGAATCAGCAAAAGCTCTTCAGTTTTTCCATCCCGGGTTGCTGTCCTTTATTAGTATTAGACACCCACCTCTTTTTGCATCCTGGCGCCGAGCTATTTTTCTGCAGGACCTCCCCTGCTTTCTGCTCTGAACCCATAGCTACAAAAGGGCCCTCAACGGCATTCGAGGGAGTCACAGTAGTTGATAGTTCCATTTCTAGGACAATGAGATTCTAAGCCAAACTAGACCTTGAAATTGGAGATTGGAAGATGAGAGAAGAAGAAGAAGAAGAGAATGGTTGGAAGTTCCCGTGCTGTCGGGACTGCGGGGCTCGAACCCGCAGCTTCTGCCTTGACAGGGTGGTGCTCTAACCAATTGAACTACAATCCCAGGGGACTAAAGGATCTAGCAGAAAATTTGATTCTTTTTTATCCTTCGCCAATTACATCGAACCTTGGCTTTCTTCTGCTTGGGAGGTTGCTTGTAGAGAGAGTAGGTTGCTCGCATGTTGGTTGTGTCCCCTCTACTAGGGTTTGAGAGATGCTCTCCGAGTTGTTGATGTTTCGATATTCACTGTATCACCAGGGACCAATTCATGAGATAACAATAAGATTGAAACATTCGCATATCCACGCATAGGAGCTCAACTTAACGTTCTTACCTAGTATAAGTACATAATAGTAGTAGTTTATTTATTAAATAATCATTCCCATGCTCTTCTTCAGGTTGAAGAGGTAGTCAAGATCCTTGATCTGCCTCCGGTTACTTATTACGCTTACTTGTTTTTTAGTACAAGTTCCCCTTGCTGAAAGGAGAGGATTTCACCCACTCTGGGAAGCTTGATACAAAGAGGTCTTACAGGATATACATAATAGAAATCCATTCGAGCGCCCAAGAAGCTTAATAATGAGACAATTCAGCCAGCGACTTTGCAGTGATCCTCTTGGAGTGGAGTGCCTTGGTGGAAAAAAGGATGGGATAAAGACAAAAGCTAGGGGAGGAGTCTTTCCAGCTGTATCGACTGAGCCAACAAGCAGTAAAGAATAAGCCAAGAAGGTCATTGGTAAAGTAGCAGCTGGTGGAGGACGAGAGTGCTTTTGGGCAGACTTTTCTACTCCTGATATGAATGGGGTTGGAGGACTTTTACCGCGTTACCCAAACAATAATGTATATTTGCCGGCAAGTCAAGGGGGTATTGAGATCGGTGGTAGGTGAGAGGCTGGTGTGGCAAGTAAAGCGGTAGACCAAATAGAGGTTTCCTAGTAAGAGGTTAATTACATCAAGTCTAGCCTATATTTGCTGCGCCACAACGCATTTCAGGGAGAACCAGCTAGCTCTGGGTTCGAGTGGCATTTCACCCCTAACCTTGCCCTTGAGAGCTAGGATCAGTTGGCAAGTCCAGACTCGTAATTTTCCTAGGGAAAATATGTCCCCCTCGGATTAGAATAGCGATCTTTGCTCGGCATGGATTTTCTGCAACGCTAAGGACGCATAAGATATTTACACGCCTCCTAGTAGCTGCATCCGTAAAATCATAATTATTGATACGGGCCTTTTCCACAGAAAAGGGGAATTTTGATTCAAAATCAAGCAATAGAATCCCTTTCTCTTTCTATTTGACCCCTTTCGCACATGAATGAATTTGAGGCTCTGACAAGACCTAATAAGTAAACAACTCCATTTACTATCTCACATCCCTCGGAATCAGTTAAGGGAACTCTATCTACCATTCGCCAATTCATTCGCTCGTATTCGTACTGGCTGGAGTTGGCTTCTATGACTGAACTTTGCTTCGCCAATACTTTATCCTTCACTTCGCTTCGCTTCGTTTGATTTGACCTGAATGCTTTTTCATAGCCTTACTTGTCATAAAATCAGTAGGGCAAACAACCAGTACCATATTGATATGATATTGATGAACCCGATCCCAGGACCAACGGGCTCCTGTCTGACTCCGAGTCTATCTCACGCTTAACATTTAGGAGAGCTCTCACTGTGCTCTCTTATCACTTCTGAAGGAAGACGAGGCTATATAAATTGTTCTTTTATTCAACTGGGTCTATTTTGAGCATCAAACTATAAATGCAACCTACGCTGATGCTGATTCTCCCAACCCTCAATCTAAGCAATTCGGTTACTGAACCACATACTATGAATAGGCGGTAATGGACAATCAAGAGCCACATCTACGCGAATGTAGTGTTCGTAGGAACCAAGATGACACATCACAACCTCACGTCGTGGTCCTGTAGCCTTTGATGGTGCAGAGAGCGGCAATACTGTGCAAGTGAATTGGTTGTACTGACGACCATCGCGACCAGAGCTTAACAAAACGACAACTGCATTAAATAGGGTTGCAACTGGGTAAAGGTCGTATGGAACTTCCATCCAGTGACACTGGACACAACGGCCCCCGTCCCACCTTATTCGACTGAGTGCGTCATTGATATCCCTATAATAGATGTTCTCGTACAAGTCACGGTGGCTGTAAACCTCATTGGCAACGTTCTCTCGTACGATTTGTCACACTTCTGGTCCCCGTACACGTAACTCGAGATGACCCAAAATCTGCAGTTTCCATCCGCTTTCACTTTCAAGTAGCTCACTACGTAGTCCAACATTAGCTAGGGAATACTTTACCAGTATAGAATACCAAATATATCTGTCGACGCACCCTCTGGAATATCATAAAAATTTTATGTCACAATTTATATAATATAATTTAGGCCAAATTGCATTTTTGGTCCTACTGCTTTTGCCTTGTGGCAATTTTAGTCCTGCGATCGGAGCAATTTGCTATTTAGTCCCAGAATTTCCAAAGTTAATGCAATTTTAGTCCTTTCGGCATCGAAAAGTCAAATCTGCGGTCGGTTTTGTCACGTGGCACGCACGTGATGTCCTCGTGGCCGGTTTCCTCTGACTTGGCATGCGACGCAGCCGATTTCAGATGACGCGGCTGATTTCTTCTGACATGGCAAATAAAACAATTAAAAATAACGAAAAATAAAAAAAACACGTAATGTAATAAATAGGGTCGTCAAGCCCCAAATCAAAATCTCTCTACCCCAAATTGTCGAACTCAGAACCCTAACCCCCTCAACCCAAGAACCCTAATCCAAATTTTCCCAATTTGTGAATTTCTCACGCAAAATGTCAGAAATCTCATATATGGTCGATCATAGGTACTGCTATTGCGGTCAAAGGGCTGTTATTCGAACCTCTTGGACGAGTGAAAATCCCGAACGTTGATTTCGTTTGTGCATTGAGTACGAGATAATTGATTCTTCTTTTCAATTCTTGATTGGTTCCTATTTTATTTTTTAAAATAATTAAAACATGAATTATTGTTCCCTTTTTTCTATATGTAGAGAGTAGGGTGTGAGTTCTTCTCTTGGGTTGATCCACCAATTTGTAAAAGGTCTAAGGAAATCATTCCTGGATTGTTACGAAAATCAAATGATTTGCGTTCTAAGAAAGAAAAATTGCGAGAGGAAAACATGAGTTTGGTTGAATGCAAGAAGAAACTTGAGTTAAAGAACTCAATCTGGCAAATGAAGTTGAAGTCCAGTTAGAAGACCAAAATTCTATTTCTTGTGGGGTTTGTGGCTCAATTCTTGTACATGATCTCAAAGAACAAAGGCTAGTGTAGCAGTTTGTTGGCCATATCAAGTGAAAATGGAAGTTTTAGCAGTTTCTGTAATCTGTTTTAGCAAGTTTGTTGGAGTAGC